TTAACCAGTTTTCAGTTGAATCCTTTGAAACTTTGCACCTCAGGCTAAAATGACTGTGGCATGTCTGTGTTTTCAACCTAACCGTAGTGCTCATTCATTCATTCATCGTTGATTCATTGAGGCAGTGCAAAGTTTCACTAAGTTTTGACTATGAAGAGAGCCTTGCTGAGGCCAGAGGTGAAACGCTGGCCCTGTCTAGGATGGACGCTTTCCTTCTTGAGGCGCTCCCTGACTAGAAGGGGAGGAAGGTCTCACATGAAATAACACAGCAGGCATGTTGATTTGTGGGGGGAATCCCTGGCTTGCCCCATAGTTCTAGAATCAGGCTGAGAAAATCTCTGTCCTAAGAATTTGCCTCCAGGGTACTAGCTGATGATCCTTGCTCTCCTCTGACCCTAATGTTGCATTATTGAAAATGGTCAGCCCCTTCAGGTAGGCTTAGCACATGACTGGGGGGATGCGGCATGAGGACAGCAGTAATGAGAGGGAAGGGGCAGGTGGGAAGGAAAAAGGAGGGGCATCCCGGTAAGATTTCAGAGGCCAAATGAGCTGGGTTTTTTACAACCTTAGTGCTTTTCTCTTGTACGTAGTAAAACCCAATTACCGTGTTGCGTTTGTACAAATATCCCAATGACGCTAACCCGTGTCAGAGAACTCACCCTCCTCAGTGCACTTGGGATCCATGAGAGCCTTGCTAAGGTCAGAGGTGAGGTCTAAAGTCTATCCAAGCACTTTATCCTATATCTTTGTTCTGCATGTTCAACTGTAAAACATTTATTGATTATATGCCAATGGTCAGGACTCAAGTACAGGCAAAATGAAAATACTCTATTCCAAAGTAAGTAAGTAGTCTGAGATGTAAATTTTCAAATCAGCTGAAAACTGGTAACGGGGTTCTTGAATCCCTCATTCACATCCAGGGTCTAAAGGAGTCAGACTGCGGAAGTATCTTTCTTTGCAGAGAACTATGCAGTGATTCCTACCACCGCTACTGTCTTAGTCTATTTTCTGTTGCTATAACAGAATACCACAGACTGGGTAATTTACAGAGAAAATAAGCATATTGGGTTCATAGTTCTGGACTTTGGGAAGTCCAAGGACATGGTCCTGGTCCTCAGCAAGGGACATCTGGTGGCAGAAGGTGGATGCGAAAGAGACCACAAAGCAAGCCTAGCTCACTTTTATAATAACGGGCTCTGGCAAGTACTAACTCACTCCCGTGATAAAGCATGAATCCATTCAGGAGGGTAGAACCCTCATGACACAATCACTCTTGAAGTCCTCATCCCTTAATTCTATTACATTGGTAATTAATTTCCAGCACATGAACTTCTGGAGGACACGTTCACACCATAGCTTATGGGACCACTTGGGGAGACTGAACAGGTGTCAGACCCTTACCTGGAAAGTCTAAGAAAGGAGTCCCCCATCTTGTGAGAGAGATGGACAAAATGCCCTTTCCTCCTTCACCTGTCCAAATCCCGTGTTTCCTTTAAGTTCAGTTAGAGCCCTGCTCCCATTTAGGAAGACTTCTCTGATTTTTTTCTAGCCCTTCAAAATTCTCACTCTTTGAATTTCTACAGTATTTAACACCTACTTATAAGATGATTTTTAAATTATTCTTTATTCACATCCTCAGTCAGTTTGGAGTCCTCTGGGCCTGCTTGTAGTTCCTATCCTGAGTGTTTGTATGTATTTAAAATTCTGTCTTTCTAGAACAGTACAAATCTGCTGTAAGGTAAATTGGGCAAGAGGGAACAGCACCCGTTGGGCCCTGCTTCCCATTTTTATGTTCTTCCAGAAGCAGCAACGTAACTCACAGCACAGCCCTGTCTGAGAGGCAGAGGTTGAAGCAGCTTCCGCCCACTGGGAGGGGTTCGGATGGCGTGAGGTGCTGTGTTGTTAAGGATACCTTCACTGGGAGGTTGGTCTCGAGAGACCTTCGACAGAATGTATTTGTTTTGCTGGATTGAGAAAATTGAATGTATATACGGCTTTGGTTAAAATTGCATTTTTGTTGCAGAGAGATTATTGTCTAAAGAAATACTCAAGTACTTGAGTGAGAAGAGGTAGATGCCGACAAGGAGAGAAGGAGTGTATTGAGGCTTGTTCAGCACTTGGTCTGTGGTGTGGATTTTAAGTCTGATGTCCTTTTTAACTTGGAAGAAAAAGTCCTGAAGCCTATTTAGGGGCACATGTTAGTGTTCTGGTTTGGCTGAGAATTCTATAGATGTATTCCCATATTTTGTGATGGAATATTATTATTCTTTTTTCGAGACAGGGTCTCACTCTTTCATCCAGGCTGAAGAGCAGTGGCATGATCATGGCTTACTGTAGCCTTGAACTCCCAGGCTCCAGTGACCCTTCCACCTCATCCTCCTGAGCGGCTAGGACTACGCGCCATGTGCAACCATCACCAGCTAATTAATTTTTTTGTTTTTTTTTTTTTTTTGTAGAGACAGGGTCTTGCCATGTTGCCCAGGCTGGTCTTGAATGCTTGGTTTCAAGCAGTCTTTCCACCTCAGCCTCCCAAAATGTTGGGATTAGAGACATGAGCTGCTGCGCCTGCCTGGCTGCATTTCTTTTTTCATCAGTCTAGAGGTTTCTCACCTGGAATTTTCTTTCTTTATTTTTTTTTTGAGATGGAGTTTACTCTTGTTGCCCAGGCTGGAGTGCAATGGTGCGATCTCGGCTCACCGCAACCTCTGCCTCCTGGGCCCAAGCGATTCTCCTGCCTCAGCCTCCGCAGTAGCTGGGATTACACGCATGCGCCACCACGCCCGGCTAATTTTGTATTTTCAGTGGAGACAGGGTTTCACCATGTTGGTCAGCTGGTCTCGAACTTGCAACCTCAAATGATCCGCCCGCCTCGGCCTCCCAAAGCACTGGGATTACAGGTGTGAGCCACCATATCCGAATAACCTGGAATTTTCTTAATCCTAAGGACTGGCGAATGTAATAGAGATTATTAAGCTTTTTAAAAAAATAACAGCTTTGTTGAGATATCATTCATATACCATTCACTTCACCTCCTGAAAGTGTATGAATGAATGGTTTTTAGTGTGTTCACAGGTGGTGCAACCATTACAGCAATAAATCTTAGAACATTTTCATTACACCCAAAAGAAAACCCCATATCCATTTTAAAGGTTTTTTTTTTTTTTTAATACTCAAAGAAGTTTAACTTTTTTGTTAATGATAAAGCTGTATAGGCTAATATCAAGGTTTTAAAATGCAGGCTAGGATTGGGAGTTAAATTATTTTTTTGAAGGGAAAATGAATTAATAAATAAACAGCGTTGCATCCAGTCTTTCAAATGAGATGGAAACAAGCATGTACATCTCTGCCTTGCTCCATCCTCATCTATCAATGTGACGTCCATTCTGTGATGATTGGTGGCCAATGATGATTGCTGGCCAGTGATTGACGATTGGTGGCCAGTGATGGATGCCATATTGCAGGGACTTATTTTGAATTAAATGGGTAACAAACTGACTAATATTTCTGCTCAGTGGGTAGGTATGCTTTGTCCTGCTCGAAATGGGAGAACTTAGTTCAGAGAGCTTTTTCCATAGATGTATGATCCTGTCTGGTATATACTCCAGTTAGCCTGCTGTGCAGCTAATTCAGCTTTGCTGCATTTCTTTTGAAGTAAGCATCCTGATTTAATGACTTTTCCAAGGACTGCCTTTAGTGTGGCCTTGCCAAACTGATAGATGTCACTTTACTCAACATAGGCTGTAGCCCAGCCCGGGCTTTGGATTGAAAATGGGACTGTAAGATCCCAGTTGGCCCAAGGAAGGCGAGTCCATTTACTCATGATTCATCTTGAGGAAGAGGAGATGCTGAGAGAGCTGGCACCTGGCGTTATTCCAGGGGCCACATTACTTCCCGCCAGCCATGGCTTCCAGGTGTGAGATCCTTTCATGAATACCAGGAAAGCAGTGATCTATTAATAACTTTACCCCAGCTACAGTTCATGCCTCTAGAGTTACCATTGTGTGGATTTCCAGAACTTCTTTTCCTTTGACACTTATCTCTATCACTGTGGAGTTAGGCCTGTGGGCCACCCAGCTCTCACACACCCAAAGCCAGGGACTCCAGGAAGACACTCAATTTGGCAGTTAATACCTTCCCTTGGGAACTTTTGGAATTATTGCTTTATTTATTTAATCCTCTTCAAATAAGAGTTTGTATACTTTTCACTGCATGCTTAAAAAAAAAAAAGAAAAGCCAAAGACAAATACACAGAAAAGCGAACACAACACCCATGAAACCCCCATGACCTCAAACAAAAATCTTCCCCGCTGTTGCCTAAGACTTTGTGCTCTCTGAATGTGTGAATGAAGGAATGCTTTGAGTGGCTCTGCTGTGGGGAACTGCACGATTTTGGGTTATCCAATACTTGGCCTCTCTTTTCTCCCTTTTCTGCTGGACTGATTTGTCCTGTTTCCTTGGTTATTAGTACTTCCACAAGAAGGGAGAAGGAATTAAATTCGAAGGATGATTTCCACTTTCTAGCAACAGTTGGTGTAGAAACCCTGGGCTAGCCAGCGACAGTTTGGGAATATCTGATTATCATTATTTCTACTTTGATTCATCAAAAGGTGATTCTGTTTTGACTTGAAAAAAAAAACAACCCAACTTTGGTTTATGAACCAGCCCAACTCTGACAAGTGTGTTCCTGTTCCACCTACATCAGTTCTAGTTTCTCTAACTTCAGTGTGCAGAAGATTCAACCAAGGAAGTTCCTGGGCTCCACCCCTTGAGATTCAGTTTTCACAGGACAGGGGCTGAAAGGTTACATTTAGTCCCCAGGTCCTTCTGATACGGATTAACTAGGGCCTGACTTTGAGAAACACTGCCCTGGAATTTGCACTTGCTATTCAGGTACTAGCCCAGCCTTCTCTGTGATTAAATGCTTGGCAGTTAACAATGTATAATTATGGTGTGTGTCGTTTCCAAGGCAACATGCATCTGTCACTCCTGCTGAGGCTGGGAAGATTGAAAGGGGCCATGGAGAGGCTGCAGTCACAGTGAGGCCTCCAGATTCATGCCATCAAAGTGTTTCATGATGACTGGGTTTTCACACCATTTATCCAAGGGCCCTAATCAATGACAGCACCAAGAATGAAAGTAGACACATTGGAAGCCAGAGAGTCACTGGGTGACTTCTAGAGGTAGCAACAAGCTCATGAAGAAGGATGAGTACGACATTCAGTGGCTTGCACTCCCCAACCATCCTCTCATGTCAGTTTTTTTCAGAATAATAAGGATGTGGGGGAATGTGAGATGACCTGACAAGGCTTCTGAAAACAGTAGTTAACTGTGGTAAACGTGTGCCTGCTATTCCTCAGTTCTCCTCTGGGATGGTGCTGTTAAAGGTCACCTGTTCTCACTTGCAGTGGGCTTGATGTGACATTTATTGAGCATTTACTATGTGATGGAAACTTTCATATAGATTATCTTGCCTTTTTTGACCTAAGTGTATTTTCATTTTTTTATCTACATGCAAAGATTACACATTTTGTATATTTCCAAATGTAATGAAAAAGGTAGAGTCTGTACATGTTTGCCGGGCACAGTGGCTCGTGACTGTAATCCCAGCTCTCAGGGATGGAGAGGCTGGAGAATAGCTTGAGCCCAGGAGTTCGTGACCTGCCTGGGCAATATAGCGAGACTCCATTCTCCACAAAAAAGGAAAAAAAAAAAAAAAAAGATAAGGTCTATACATGTTTTAACACAGGATTTGGCTTTTTGGTTTTAGTTGTAAAACTGTATAGGGCAGTGCTGGATAGAACTGGAGGCCGTTATTCCAAGGGAAGGAACTATGGAATGGAAAACCAAATACCGTATGTTCTCACTTGTAAGTGGGAGCTAAGCTGTAAGGATGCAAAAACATACAGAGTGATATAATGGACAGTCAGGACTAGGGGTAGGAGAGGTTGGGAGAGAGGTGAGGGATAAAAGACAACATATTGGTTGCATTAAAATCTCAGAATTCATTGCTAAGGAATTTGTGTATCAAAAAACTACCTATATACCCAAACTATTGAAATTAAAAAAAAAAAAACCACCAAAACCATATATGGCAGTGAAAACATTCAGCCACTAGTCAGGCCTTAGGGTCTGGTTCTGAATCTTATCATGAATAGGCTTTGTGACTCAAGCAAGTTTCAAAACTTGTCTGAGGCTCTGTTTCTACTTCTGCGAATGAGGCACTTAGACTAGACAAGCAATCTTGACTTTTGAAGGGTGGCAACTACCTCGTAGAATCCAGTGAAAACTCGGAGCATTCTTCCCTGAAAAAGGTAAATGTATGCTTGCTAAAAGATAATTACATTCAATTTCCAGGGGACCACAGACCCATGTTAAATGAAATGATTGCTTAAGATTCAGCTGCAACTCAGAATTGCTGAGTCCCACAGGACCCTGAGAGTCTTGCATTGTTTAGAGAGGCCCCCTGAGGAATGAGCTATTTGATGAGGGAGGTTTTGTTGTTCCTGGCATTTTTCACTAACTGCCCTGTGCCTTCTGGGGAGGGGAGACGGGAACAAACACTGAGAAAAATAAATAGGGAATGAGTGGCATCTGGAATATGAACTGTTTTCTTCATCGCTTTCACAAGGAGGTAGATGGCATGATTGCAGCACAGAAGATATGTCGAAGAATTACTTGAACATAGAGATATAGCATTTTGTATAGTGACAGTTAAGCAGTAACTTAGACTTGCTCTATTTTAATGTTTTAGAACTCACTGATACAGAAATCTAAGAAGGTCCAGTTCATAGAAGCAGAGAATAGAATAGTAGTTACCAGGAGCAGGGGTGGGGGTGTGGGAGTGGGACGGTGGGGGAGGTGGATGGGGAGATGTTGGTCAAAGGATGCAGCATTTCAGTTAGGAGGAAAAGATGAAGAGATCTATTGTGCAACATGGTAACTATAGTTAGTGTATTGTATACTTGAAAAATTCCTGACAGTAGATTTGGAGTGTTCTCATCACAGTGAAATAATAAGTATGTGAGGCAATGCATATGTTAATTAGCTCAACTTAGCCATTCTACAATATATGCATATTTCAAAAGTCATGTTGTACACCATAAAAGTATATACAATTTTTATTTGTCAGTTAAAACAAATGTTAGTAAGTAGGAAAAAATGGAAGTTTTGGTTAATTTGAAAATGTCAGAAGCTTCTAGGGAGTATATTATAAATGGAAATATGTTATTTACCACTCCTCAGCTGTTAACTGACCACCTTCCCAACCCAGCCCTGCTCTGTCTCCTTCCCATGACCCAAAGTTGTAATCCAATCAAGACAGAATACCTTATTTGGAAACCTACATATGTCCTTTTTTTCTCTGCTTAGGTGTTGAAAAATCTCTAGAGCTTTGGAAGGCTGAATGGACTAAACATGAAGAGCTTGAAAGCGAAGTTCAGGAAGAGTGACGTGAGTATGCGGTGACTCAGAGTCTGGCTGTTCCTTCTCCACGGAGCTGCAGAAACGCTCCTCCCACCTTGATAAGGCACTGCTGAGTTAATAAACTACAGACACTCAAGTGCTCTTGGCCCCAGCTCAGGGTAGCTTCTGTAGATGGCATGCTCTAGGTTCCTTGCTGTTTGTGTGCGTAGCTTTCAAAATGCTTTTTTTCTTTAATTCTGGGGATCTGTGCCTTGTAGAGAAAGGAACCGTCACGTTAAACATCTTCAAAGGAAGAATCAGTAAAAATCTCAACATTTCTAAGGTTGCCAGAAATCCTGATTCAGAATGTTGTTTTTAGAAGAAGCTAGTCTCTCTCATGAGGGTGGTTCAGGAATGACATATTAGCATGGTTCATCTTTGGCTTTAGGAAACCTGTTCAACTCTGTTAAGGCTTTTGTGGTAAAATGGTATCTATTGCTGCCCGTACCTTTCCTCCCCCTGAATTCCAGGGGCTCTTCCTCATTTGTTGTCTATCATAAAAGACTCTGGATTGGAGGAACCAGTTATGATGTAAGAGTTCTGAAACAAAGTCTCCCTTAGGAGAAAAGGGAGAAAAACGTAGCAGAGGGGTTGTACACGGTAATATTTTTTTAAAAGGTCGCCCCATAAACCCTTCTATGATCCCAGTCTTGTACTAGCTGCATTCCAGAAACTCTGAGCAGAGTTGTGGAATGGGAGAAATTAATGGAAGGGAATTAGATGGAAGCCAAGGTTTGTCACTCTCAAAATGGGCTTGTTCAGCTATCATTTCAGACGAGGTAATTAAAGATGAACCTGGATTTTATTGCTTTGCCATGAATTGTATTTTGACAGCTTGGCACAGCTGCATTTTTGCAATAAATGGAGACTGTGTCTTTTATGGCTAATATGTAACTTGCATACCTACTTCTGGCTGAAGCTTGTCTCCTGAGGCTGCATCATGACATGTAACTTACTGCCCTGATAAAACCCAGGCTAGATGAGATGCTTATGGGATGATGGTAAAATACCGACCCACTTAAAGAAAGCACTGGGAAGCATTATGAAAAAAGTTGGTCTCACCTTCTTATCCTTTAGGTAAATTAAATAAAACTCACAGAGTGCAAAGAGACTTTGACAAAGACATGAAACTAGCTGTTGGCCAGAGTGAAAGTCCTGGTCATCCAACTTCTAAGAAACCTCCTTCAATCTCATCGTCTGCTGGCTGTATGTTATGCAGCCTACATATCTCCCGTGGCTTTCAGCTAAGGAGAAAAAGGCAATTAAATGGAAAATGTTGCGCAATTCAGCAGATAGGGGTTTCTAAATTATGTGACCAGGTTAACAAATGCCTTTTTCTATTCCAAGGGAATCTAGGTAGCTTTCATTTACATAAGTTAAGATTATTTTTAGCAAAATTTCATCAGTCTAGACTTCCATGTATATGAACAGGGGCCCAGAGGAATGATAGGCACATAAACTTTTGGTTTAAAAATCAAAAACTGGTGGCAGTAGGGAGGGTGTTGCCGGAATCCAGTTAGAAAAACTGAAATATTTCCATGATTTAAAAAAATCCACTGTAATAACACTAGTAAAAGCTTCTGGGATTTGGCAGCAGAAAAGGCTATGATTTTGGCAGTTAGTGCTAAGAGAAGAAATGTTGAGAAGCAGACCTTGGGGAGGAGAGCCTGAGGAGGAGGAAATTGGTATAATGGAGTCCAACAATTTCAAATGGCTCTCCACATCCAAATTGTTTCCCCAAGCCACAGAACTGTACAGCTAAATGGAGGGAATAAAAAAAGACAACAACAAAAACATTTCAAAGCCCTGTTTGTTAATCAACCGTATGATAATAATGCTAATAATAATTAACCATTAGGAAGTATTAACCAAATGTCGGGAGCTATGCTAAGCTTTTCACATGAAATTCATTTACTCTTGCCACAAATCTTATGTGGTGGGTATAACTATTAAGCTCATTTTACAGATGAAGAAACTGAGGCCTTAGGGACATGCAGTCATTTGTCTGGGTTCTTAGAACTTTAAGTTCTAGAACCAGTTTTTCACTAAGGCAGCCTGATTCAAGAGCCCATGTTTCCTGAAAGAGGAATTTTGGGTGGAAAGTATATTTTAAGAAACTAAGCAATCTGCTGGCATGGTGGCTCACTCCTATAATCCCAGCACTTTGGGAGGCTGAGGCAGGAGGATCTTGAGTCCAGGAGTTCAAGAGTAGCCTGGGCAAACATGGTAAAACCCCATCTCCACAAAACAATTAAAAAATTAGCCACCTATGGTGGGCCACACCTATGGTTCCAGCTACTCGGGAGGCTGAGGTGGGAGGATGGCTTGAGCCCAGGAGGTCAAGGCTACAGTGAATTGTGTTCACGCCACTGCACTTCAGTCTGGGTAACAGAGCAAGGCCCTGTCTCAAAAAACAAAAAACAGAGCAATCTAGGGAGTAGCTTTAAAAGTGACTTTAGACTTGGACTTAGGTTTGTGGCCCTGGACAAGTCTCTTACTCTTCTGAAGCACAGATTCCTCACTGGAAAAGTGGAGGAAATAATATTAGCCCCATAAGGTTGGGGTGACAGTTAAATGCATTAAATGAATGTTGGCTGGGTGCGGTGATTCACACCTGTGATCCCAGTACTTTGGGAGACTGGGGCGGGAGGATCACCTGAGGCTGGGAGTTTGAGGCCACCCTGACCAACATGGAGAAACCCGTCTCTACTAAAAATACAAAATTAGCCGGGCATGGTGGCGCACGCCTGTAATCCCAGCTACTCGGGAGGCTGAGACAGGAGAATTGCTTGAACCCGGAGGGCGGAGGTTGTGGTGAGCCAGAGATCATGCCATTGCACTCCAGGCTGGGTGAAAGAGCAAGATTTAGTCCTAAAAAAAAAAAAAAAAAAAAAAAGAATGTCAAAAATCTTAGGGCCTGGTGCTCAGGAGATGCTTAGTAAATATTTGTTTCTTCCTCCTAATTAGCAACTGGTAATAAAAAGTAGGATTCAAAAAGTTTACATGGTCTGGAGGGTAGAATAATCTGGTAACAGTTGCTGCTGCCAAACAGGGAAACTGAGAGCTGGGAGGGAGTGGAGAAGGGAGGCTTGTTTTCCAATGTATGCCTTTGATTTGGAAGTTCTTGATATATGTACATGTATATCATGCATATATATGTATTGTTAAGGAAAAACACATTTACAAACATTTACATTCAGTTGAATGAACCAAATTATAATTTTTTTTTAACCTGAAACAAGTGGTCTGTCTCAAAATATTTTAAACCATTGGGCATCACATTTTCCTGCTTGTCTGTGTGAGGGAAAAGGAGGAAGAAAGGATTCTTTGTATTTCTGGGGGGTAGGAAGAGGAGAATAGCAGATCAGGTTCTGGCGCTTACATAAAGAAGACAGGTGACCCACTGGTGTGATCGCATTTCAGCGAGCCTGTGTCTGGGAGGTCTGTGGCCAGATCGGTTTGTGGCCATTGCGAGCAAAATCCAGGAGTAAACATAGGATGAAAGTGGCCCAAGGGGGCCTCCTATGGATGGCCTTCAGGTCACTCTGTGACCCCAGGGCCATCACGTGGGTAAAGATTGAATGGGAGTGTCCTTTCCGGAAGACTTGACAACTGGCACTGTGTCAAAGACAGATGTGAGTTTGGTAGGGAATGCGCCTGACTCTGAGGGCTGTGGTTAGACAGTGTCATTGTCCAGTGGTTTTGATTCTTAAGTCTATTTGGGACCCTGCAGATAACCCACAGAGGCTAAACAGCATTATGAAATTTCTATGATGGATAACCTTTTTTACTTCACATTTATAACTTTATTTTGGGAGTTCTTAAACTTGAGTTGTTAGATAGTAGATAGGATACAAGAGAAATGCAAATATGGTTGTTGTCTTTAAAAAGCTGATAAACCTCGGTGGGAAGAGAAAAGAAAAACATGTAGGAAACAATTAGAGCAAAATACAAGCAGTATAGACTATAGATACTCGAGGTACCTTTAAGATGATATAACTAACTAGTTATTAAGTTGTAGGGCCTGGTGATAAATGCTATAAATTTTCAGAGGGCTGAATCATTGAGAATGGGAGAATTTGGGGAGCTTTATGGAGGTGGAGCTTCATGCAGGCTTTGCTGGTAGGAGTCAGATCCAAATTCATTCATTCTTGCATCTCATCAGTTAAATTTATCCAGTTGTCTCACCACCATTTGTTGAGGAGACTATTCTTTCCCTCATTGAATGATCTGGTCACTCTTGTCAAAGACCAATTGCCTGTAGATATGTAGGCTTACTTCTGGACTCCCATTGGAAACGTGGTTGGGAAGAGGGGGAAAGGTCAGAAGGTCAATCAAGGGAGGCAGCTTGCAGCACAGTGGGTTAACTCAGTCTCAAAAATGGCCCTTGACATACAAAATAGTAATATTAATAGTTCAGGAGCCCAGAAGAGTGCCCATGGCATGTCCCTGAGTATTTAAAAGAAGAATACTATAAAGTTTTCATCCTAGTTTTAAAAATGGATAGACTGATTTTTATGCTTATTAAGCAAGCACAGAGTTCTCAATGATCATTATTTGTATCTTTTATGACCATAGCTTGAAAAAATAGCTTCTTTACCTCTTTAAATATTTGCAGCAGCTAGTATGTGGTTCCACAGGGGAAAATGAGCTGTCATCATGAAAAATGAGGCCAAAAAGTTTGGGATTTCCCTTTGCTAATAAAATGCTCAGGCTTCTGGAATTTCTTTGTAGATGCCAGTTTTCAGTGACTTGAGTGAAATGGGTGGAGGTTGAGGGATGGGAAATGGGGTTGAAAGATCTTTGTAACAAATCTTGAGAAATGTCACTCAAACGTGATCGAGGCCTTCACCGTTTACTTTGAGGGTGTGTGCTTAATTTGATGAAAGATTTATTCCCAATTATATATTTCATTGTAATAGGGAAGCAGCGGACATTCCATTAAAAAAATCAAAACAGCCAGTTTAAAGTGACAGGCTCTAAGAGAG